GTTGTTACGGCGTTAATAACAAGGTGCGCTTCTAAACTTTGCAATAAACAGTTTTTATACAACAGAATGAACTCTGTGTAATTATAATGGGTACCCAGTTCAGTTCCTTAGTAATATTTTAGATTGTAAATTAGATGCCTTAAATTACGGTGTAGCCACAGCGGTGCCAAAAAGCCATGCCAAATATAGACCTAATATTTCTGGTTTAATATGAAATTATGCGCATATGCGCAAAGAAAGAATTATTCGATTGAGTCGTTCGATGGACGCACCAAGCATTATGGCGCTGAATATTGGTCTGGTACTAAAGCTGCGGAGAATTAGCTCGTGGTCACCTAGCGAGGCATTGTTAAGGTTTCCTTTCGGGATCACTCACGTTCTGAATGCCCAAATTCGATAATGGACATAATTAAAAGACGAAACTTCGGCCTTCTACGACCTAAGCAGAAAATATCCTTACCCAGTGTGGCTCGCCTGACAGACAGCCGACGTACGTCAAGAATTTAAACTGGGTTCAACTGGACCATAATAATGCGCTCGTCCGCCTAAGAATTAACTGGAGCTATCCAATGGTCGAGAACATAGCCAGCGGTGGAAACAGACAGCGAGGAACAAAAAATTCTGCACATGTCTCCACTTTCGTTTCTGGTGCACCTATAACGAGGGCAGGTTAGAACACGTACATATTTACAGCGAAATGTTACCTCAGGTGTTTTGAATACTGAATAAGATATTAATGCGGTATTTATATCCTATCCGTACGTAATTCTGAGCATGCTGACCCTGGGCTTGGTTTAAATTTACCATGCAATAGGGAAAGGTTTTACTTGCAAGAAATTAGTAACATAATCACTCCTAAAACGGACGGACACCCGGTGCCAATTTAGCGGAGATACAGAATCGCCGACGAACGCGAACGGCTCGTTCAGAAGAATCGTTCAAGACGGAAAGAAAGCCCTCTTTGCCCTCGCCCCCTTCCTCTACCAACTGACACTGTGAATGTTCACAGTGAAAAGAGTTCGGGCTCATGCGTCGAGCTATAGAAAAAGTATAATAAAGAAATGCTTCCATTTCTGATCAGAGTGTACTGATATCGCCAGCTAAAGAAGCTTACTGAACATACGTGGCTCCGAGGCTATATACAGGTTTTCCAGCGGTGTAAATTGCCAAAGAGGCATTTTCTGCTCATATTGGTTCAAAAACCTTGTAACCTTCCAACAACCGAGTTTTAACCGCCAGGACATCACGAATGTCTTCATATGCAATTGTCATCCGGTAAACCAACAGTTTTCTTTCTGTTTAATTAAACCGTATTTATGCAATTTTTGTGTGACGTGCATACCTGTGCTAATGTTTGGTCACCGTGTTGAAAGTGCAAATAATATAAACAATTTTCTTTGTTCTTATGAAGACATCACGTGTGCGTCTTCTTTCTAGAATATGTCACCATCGGTATTATTTAGAGATCCAGATGCTCAGGTCGAACAATCATGGAAACGCGGCGTTGTCATGGCTTCCTGCCAGAACATCGTACGACGACTGTCGGACATGCCGGCAAATATCCTCACACCTGTTCGTTTTGCAGCTGCAGCGAAGGAGCTGTTGCAAGGCCTTGATTCGGTCGAGGTCATCTGCCAGTAAGAGACGTCACGCCAGGTGTAGTCTACGATGTGACAGCCGCTCGATGGTCCACCAGACATTTTTCATATGATGTTTCCATTTTCGAAGCTTAAAAGTCTGTAAACGGTTTAGCTGCCTTTCCGATCCTCTCACCCAGTTCAAATGGACTCAACAGAAAGTTCTTCTCGAATTAGCCTAATTTATTTTAGAGATTCAGTGGAAGTAAAGAATTACACTACCCTTTGTCGAATTTCAGTTCTGCTTATTCATTCATACCGCCATAGAGCCATTAAAGGTTTCGTTATCCCCAAAAGATCGTCCAACAAGGCTGATTTGCCTTATGTCTCAGGCAGATCTGCTTAATGTAAGAAAAACCTTCCGATAGGATGACAAATCTCAAATTTATCCCAAAGACTGTACCGTCAGATCTTTTCATC